CAGGATAGTCTCGATCTCTTGACCTCGTGATCCACCCGCCTCGGCCTCCCAAAGTGCTGGGATTACAGGTTTGAGCCACTGCGCCCGGCTGCTTAAACTTCTTAATGGCTTCCCTTTATGCTTGGGTTCAAATTCAAAATCCCTAGCCTGGGCCAATAAATCTCCTCATGGGCAGCTCTCTGCAGTCCTCTCTCCCTGCATACTCACCACCAGCAATACTGGTTTTCTTCCAGTTCCTTGAAGGCACCACACTCTTCCCTTCTCAAGCTAAAATAAAAAAATTTACTTATATTTTCTTCCTTTCCCAGAATGTCTCTTCACATACCCCCTTGCCTGTCAATCTCTTTCTCTCTTCAGGTATCTGCTTAATGTCATTTCTTCAAAAGTATTGCCATAATCTAAACTAGGTCCTCTCCTAATAGTTCCATGTTGCTTCCTTCCCTAATTGTTATCACAATTTATAATCGTATGCTTATTTGCTTAAGGCCCAACTCCCCGGTAAACAATAAGTTCCACGAGAGTTGAGAAGGCATATATTTTCTTCCCCTTAGTACAACCTGCCACTAATGCAATGCTTGGCACATAATAGGTGTTCACCAGATCAAAATGAAAAAGTATTAGGTACTAGGCTTAGTACCTGGGTGATGAAACAATCTGTACAGCAAACCCCTGTAACCTGAGTCTACCTATATAACAAACCTGCACATGTGCCCCTGAACCTAAAATAAAGTTTTTTAAAAACAGGTGCTCATTAAATATTTCTCGACTGCAAAAATGAATGAATGAATGAAACCTGATAACATGCCTGTAGTCAAAATTTTATTTTGCTATTAACTCAAAAGTCTGCAAAGAATTTGTAAGAGATATGGTTATACTTTTCATAGAGACAGATTTTGCATTGTTTGGTTTTCATTTCTCTACCTGACCTTAAGATAATTATGTACTGAAAGGACCACCGCACTGAGACACAAGCCACATTCTGGGCCTTATCCATCCAGTTTTACACTGTGTATCCTTGAACGGTTCCTGTTTCCTTATCTTTAAAACAGGGAAAGGAAACCTCTCTCTTCCTAATTCCCAGCTTCATTTTAAGATTCAAAAGAGATCATTTACAAGAAATCCCTTCGGAAGCTATAAAGCACCATATCAATGTAAGGCCATCATGTCTTTGCACTCATCACACTATGTAACTGCATAAAGCTAAATGGTGAGGCTGCTTGTTTTCAGAGATTTAATCTTTTCCACCTGAGGACAGCAGGGATCCAGGCTAAAGAAAGAGGAGGTTCCCGCCCCGCTCGCATCTGCGCGGCGAGATCCATTTGAAGACGAGCCCTGCCCCCTGGTGGAAGGAGAGGGCCGAGTGTGGCTGGCAACGTGGGATCGCCAGAGTCCTAATGACAGACGCTGGCTGAAAAGGAGAATCCACTTATTTAAGCAAGTGCTTTTTAAAGAAACAGTTTGTTATTTTTTCTTTTTGCTGTTTTCATTTGTTTTTTACATTAACAAATTAAAATTGTATATACGTTGTACAGCATGATGTTTTAAAATATGTGTACATTTTTAAAGAAACAAAACAATGAAAGAGATTTATTTTGATTAAGAAAAGTTAAAAAGAAAAGGCAAAAAGAAAATACGTGTACATTGTGGCTCAAAGTAATTATCACATGCATTATCCCGTAACTTAATCATTTTTTGTGGTGAGAACACTTAAAATCTACTCTCTTAGCAATTTTCAAGTATGCAATGCATTGCTGTTTCCTTTTTTGTTGTAAAATGGTCTTTTGGAAACATTTTATTTGCCTATAAAGGATGCAGACACGTTATACCAATTACTTGTCTAGTTATTATTTGGAGTTTAGTAATAAGTGAGAAATTTATAATTCCTTATAAATTTTCATATTCTAATTTCTTATATTTAAATCTCAACAATTTCATTAGAATCATTTTACAACTCTTGCATGTTAGGACTATGGATGGTGCATACTAGAAAATTTCAGCTTATCCATTTCCCTATTTGCTACATGCATTTTATTTAACTTTGTTATACTGTGTGTATTGTGTACATACTGGACCAATGAGTCCTAATTTTATAATATCTAGTCTCTAGATATTAAAAAGGTTGTCAATGTTTAAAACAAAAAGACTACAAATGGCAACATATAAAGTATTTGTATAAGCATGCATCACAGCATAATTATTTATGTCTAAATATGCTCACAGTGCCAGAATACCAAAGTCATCTTGAACATATGCCAAGTTTTCACCTGGCCTAACCCTCATGACTCTGAGCAAATTGTTTGACATTTCTGGGTCTCAGTTGCCCTCATCTGCCAAATAAGAGGCTGAATTAGGTGATGTCTAAAGCTCTTTGCAACACTAAGAATATCCTACAACTTTGTCCAGAAAATGCATTTTAGAGGCCATTCACGAGCCGCCCTCAGTGCCAGCTGACCAGGCTCCATCCAGACTGCTGAGCCCAAGGCGGTTCCAGGAGATTGCCCCTGACTATCCTGGTGGCAAAACAACTTCATACTTGTCATCACCCCCCTGAACCCAATCAAGTCCAACCAAGCGGACTTGAAACCAGTCACATACAACCAGGTGCCTCCTGCGTCTTGTCTCTCCTTTTTCCTGCCCTCCCAACTCTTCACCCCCACCCTCCACAGCCATGGCCTCAAGAGAAAGGAGGCTTCTCCTTGCTCACCTCTCCTTCCCTTCCAGCCTGACGTCCCAGCCCTCCACACTCAACACACCCAGTTAGAAACAATTACAACAGTAATAATAATGGCTGCCATTCATTGACAGTTTTCCATTTGCCAGGCACTATGCTAAGCATGATCTCATTTAGCTTCTCACAAGCTTATGAAGTGGAAACTCTTTTTATCCACATTTTGACAACTACATGAAGACCTCTTGTCTGCAGACCTCTCTGCAAGAGTTCAGTTGAAATGATTTTTAATAGCATTAACCACTTTCTGCTGAATTGTCCTAAAGACTTTTTCTAACAGAAACTTTTCCTTCATCCTCGAGCTCCGTTCCCATCTCTCTCCCCTTCCTCTCATTTTCTCCCACATCTTTTCCTCTCACCTCCTCTCCATCCGCCTTCTTCCCCTCTATTTCCCCTTCTTCTCCCACTGCCGCACACCTCACATAAGGACTTCAAGGCAGAATCTGTGTTCTCTAGATCCCCAGTGCCACATCTAGTTTTATGCCACTTAATTCTTATGCTAAGACTCCTCTTTTGAGGCTAATGCCATCCAATGGCCCCTCACTACACACTCCCCTCTCCCTCATTGTCCAAAAACCTTGACACTGGCTCACAGTCCACTTCCTTCCCATCTCCTGCCATCATGAGAAACTTCATGCCTTTCTAGATGGCCCGTTTAACCTCATAGACGGATAGTTCCTGACCTCCTACTCCCTTGCCCTTCAAGTCCAATTCACTTCTGACTTCTTGTTCCAGTGACTGTTGGGTCAAGTCCCATGGCTATTTTCTGGACTTTGGTGACACCTGAACTTAATGCCTACTTTAAAATTCTAAATGCTGGTTTCCACTATCCTACTTTAGCCTGTCATCCTTCACCTTTATCAATCTCCCCCTCACACTCCGCCTGCTTCATGAACTCATAAAGATGCCCAATGGCTCACTCTCTGCCTTTTTCCTCGGTCCATCTGTCCCTCTGGTTTTACTTTCTTCTTCCTATATGATCATATAGTCAATTGCCTCAACCATTTTCTCAAGAACACCAGAAACTTCCCTGTCACTGTTTCCTTCTTCTGGACCTGTCTTCAAATCCCAAAACCCACATCAGTCTGATCATCATCCTTTCTATTCCTGCACCAGGATTACTTCCAAATACTCAGTTGAACAAATGAGAGCTGGACCCTCCAATTTTCCTTTGCTCGTTGCTAGTCAGGAGTTTTTCCCATTCAGTGTACATATTCTAAACAGTCATTCTTTCCATCGGTCATCTTCATCTGGAACATTCTAGCAACCCCTCAAATCCAGTTGGTCCAAAATTAAACTCAGTGTCTTTCTTCTCCTATATTCCCCATCTCAGTGAATATTATGAGTTCCCAGAATCCAAAATTAATTACCTAAGAGTTATCCCCAATTCTCCCTTATTCCTTACTCCACAAACTCATCATATTACCATATGCTCTCAAAACCACAGCATCCCCACTGCCTTCATCCTTCTCACCTGGACCATTGCTCCAACCTTGTAATTGACCACCTTGTTTCATTTCAACCTAATTATGTTGCCCTCTGCTTTTTACTTAGGATTAATTACAAACTCTTTAAATTAGCACAGAAAGCTAATCATAATCCAGCCCCTGTCTGGACCTGACAATAGATTTCTTAAAGACTGTAATCATGCCTTTTTCATTTCTGCATTTAGTAGCACTATGTCTGTCATTTTAGCACTTAGCATAGAGCACCAGACATAATAACCATGCTATTTTAAATAAAATAATGGGTCAATATTTGCGTCATTGTCCAAGATCATAAATAGATGTTACAATCATGGTAAGAACAGAGACATCACTAGCCTATGTTTTCTAAACAACACATTTTTTTTTGTTCTGGTGGGATAAAATATCTGTTTCTGTAGTTAGCAGTACTTTACACCCCTCAGTGGTAATTGAGACCCTACTGTACCTCACAGACCTCTATCATAATCTTACTTAACTTTATAAAAAATTTGATAATGCCTGGCGCCAGATAATGATGGTATATGCCTAGGGTCTAGATGAAAGTAAAGGATTACTCACTCAAAAGTAGAAGTTACATTAGTAAACTTAAAATAGAACAAACCCTATTATGTTTAAGATAACAAATAGCCCAAAGCAATAACTAGGGATGTTAGACATTAATTATTTTTAAAATCACCCAATTACACATAATTTTATGCTAATCTAAATGATGCCATTTTTCTTTTGGCATATATAACTCAAATAAGAATGCCCCAATAATTGTATATAAAAGCCCAAGGAAATCACCAGTACATGATATTCTGTTCCCCTGGGACGTTGCAGTTACACATAGACAAGGTGAACATTTCTCAAAACACCATGTCTCTCCGATTTTCTAATGGATCCCGACATGTTTGCTTAAGGTCTGGAGCCGACTCTGTCAGACCACCCAACGGAGGTGCAGGCTTTGCAGGCAGCAGTGCATGTGGCAGCTCTGTCATTGGAAGTGAATTTTCCTGTGCCTTGGGAGGAGGCTTGGGCAGTGCTCCTGGTGGGAGCCATGCTGGTGGTGCCTTTGGAAATGCTGCTTGTGTTGGCTTTGTTGGAAGTGAAGGGGGACTCCTCTCTGGAAATGAGAAGGTGACCATGCAAAACCTTAATGACCGCCTGGCATCCTACCTGGATAATGTGCGAGCTCTGGAGGAGGCAAATGCTGAATTAGAGAGAAAAATCAAGGGCTGGTACGAAAAATATGGACCTGGATCTTGCCGTGGACTTGATCATGACTATAGCAGATATCACCTTACAATTGAGGATCTTAAGAATAAGGTGAGAAATTATAGATTTGGAACTATTCCAAGTATTTAAAACTGAGAAATACCTAGCAAAAGCCATACAATAAGAAATGCTTCATGACTGTTATCTGTAATTTGTATTTATTTATTTATTTAGAAAAATAATTCTTCCTATTATCCAAAAATAGGCCCTTCATGAATTTTAATGTAGTTAGAGTGTTATTAATTCCATTGTTTATGTTGAAGTACATCCATAGACATATGAATAAAAAAGTATTGTAGTTCTAAAGTCAGGTGAGTGTATGAGAATAAATAAAACCATGATTTAATTTTTAAAAGTTAAATTTTAAACATTTTGATTATCACAAAAGGAAGTGAGATTTTATTCAAAAACCTGAGTAACATTTTTCATTTCCTAAAATAATGACTTACATAAAAGCATACTTACTTGTCGCGTTCTCTGTTTTGGTTTATTCTAGATTATCTCCTCCACTACTGCTAATGCTAATGTCATTCTGCAGATTGATAATGCCAGACTGGCTGCTGATGATTTCAGGCTCAAGTAAGTGGCAAAAATCAATCAGGCTCTAGAAAAAATTTTCTATCTATTTAATTTGTTAAATAAAATTTCAATTTCATCCCAAGTAGAATGAACTATCACCTAAAAGATTAAAGGAAGCAACGAATTTATATTATAACAATCAACCACAACACAGCTGTGTTAAACTCACAACTTTAAGACACTTATTATAACCCCAGGACAAAATATCGAAGTATTTCTCTGCCTGCCTAGGATGCACTGCCTGCCACAAAGCAGATGCTCAGTAAATCATTGGTCAACCAAGGAAAACTATTAACTAAAATAACATTCCAAAATGGTGTATTTTTATTTAATTGGGTCATGTCATTGGAATTTGTGTGATGAAATAACTGCTGATTACCCTGTACAGAATTAGGTGGGGGTAATGGAAGAGGGCTTTCTGTGTATGTTTTTACACTATTTAGAGTGCTAATTCAATTTCTGCTTTTCAGTTTAAATCAATTGGGACTGAATTTTTCTGTTTCTTGAGGTAGTCTTACTGGCACTGAAATTCACTTAAATGCCCCCCAAGGTATGAAAATGAGCTCACACTTCACCAAAATGTAGAGGCCGACATCAACGGATTACGGCGAGTCCTGGATGAGCTGACACTCTGCAAGACGGACCAGGAGCTGCAATATGAGTCCCTGAATGAGGAGATGACGTATCTCAAGAAGAACCATGAAGAGGTAGGAGAGGCTTTGCTTATAGTCCAACCACAATTCTGTAAATACTGGGTGGGGGTCTGCAGTTAAAATTACAGTAGTAGTTCACATTCATTGTAATTTATTTACGCCAAGAGATAGAAAGACAATTTCATTTTTCCCACTCTGCCCTTATGCTCCCAGCCCCCAAGGTAATAAATATTAACCATTTGATCTGCACCCTTCCATTTTTTTAGGCTGATACAATATTCTATCCATTTAAAAAGAATACATTGCTTTTGCATCTATACAACCATCTTACTTTCCACTATATTATTTCTTTAGTTCATAGAGGCATCTCTTGAGGTCAACCTTCTAACAAAAGACCTCTCAAAACAGGAAAAGATATCAGTGTTTTTCTCCATTGAATGAGTCTGAGTTTATCTTAATGTTGAACCCTGTACAATAATAAACTCATTGTTTCACATATAATATCAAGAAGCTTCGATCCACTGAAAATTAATAAATCAATAAAAGATTGTTCCCTAAGTAACTGCAAAAGTCTCCAAAGCAATGGACGACAAATTTTCAGAAAATGGCTACGACAGGAGTGTCCCATTAGTCACTTGAAAAGGCTGAAACACCACCATCTACTTGTTCCAAGTGAGAACATTATGGGAAAGGGAAAGAGAAGGAAAACTAGAAGGGAAAAAAAAAAAAAATGAAAAGGAAACAAGGAGAGGGAAGAGTCCCAGAGCAGAGCACTGGAAGTCGGACCACCAGCAAGTGTCAGCAGGAGAGTGAAAGGTACACCAGGCATTGCAGAGCGTGACAGCAAGAAAAGAAAGTCCCAGGGAAGGAAGAGAAGAAATGGCAGCCACTGCAGCCAAGCCAGCAGAGGGCATTCGGAGTAGGGTAGGGATCACAGCAGGATGCATTGTCCTCTGCAATGACACACCACCTGAAAGAGGGTGCCTTTTGCTTGCACTGAGGGTAGACAGGAAAAGTCCCTCATTACTGGCTAGGAATCAAAAATAAAAAAAAAAAAAACTTTTGTTTTAAAAAGCCAGTCACATCTCAACATCACCTAAGAGAGTACCATATTTACCATATCCTCTGCGACCATGATCCCTTAAGATACCTTCAAGCAATTTTATTTTCAAACTGTTACAGCAACAAGAGGTTTTCTTCACATGGAATCTTATACAAAACCCCAAAATTTCAGGATTTTTTTCACTGTTCCATTCCCATCAATCTGACATTTAATCAATAACTATTGTTGAGTAACTCTCTGGCCTTTAAATCCCTTTCTCATTTTAAAGAATAAATAACTTCTCTTGGAGTGTTGTGACTGTTTTTGGTGGTGGTGGTGATTTTAATCAACTGGTCCCTAATTTTTTTTTTTTTTTTTTTAGACAAGAGGCTTGCTCTGCCTCCCAGGCTGGACTGCAGTGGCCCGATCTCGGCTCACTGCAAATTCCACCTACGGGATTCAAGCAATTCTCCTGCCTCAGCCTCTGGAGTAGCTGGAATTATAGGCATGCACCACCACGCCTGACTAATTTTTGTACTTTTAGTAGAAATAGGTTTTCACCATGTTGGCCAGGCTGGTCTTGAACTCTTGGCCTCACGTGATCCGCCCATCTCAGCCTCCCAAAGTGCTGGGATTACAGGAGTGAGCCACCGCGCCCGGCCAACAGGTCACTAATTAAATAGATGATTGGTATAAATACAGACCGAATATGTCAATTAAAAAACTATGTGCCATAAATTATACACCCAACCACAAACTGAGACACAAAGTAACACCTTTGAAAACTTCTCAGACTCAGTGAGAATGTGCAATGTCTTAAAGCCACCCTGGTGCTTCCCTCCAGGAGATGAAAGCTCTCCAGTGCGCGGCTGGAGGCAACGTGAACGTGGAGATGAACGCGGCCCCCGGGGTGGACCTCACCGTTCTGCTGAATAACATGCGAGCAGAGTACGAGGCCCTCGCAGAGCAGAACCGCAGGGACGCGGAGGCCTGGTTCAACGAGAAGGTGAGGTGAGCCCTGTCCCACTGCCCACGCCTCCGGGGCGGGTGGGGACTCCGAGTGACCCTTTTGCCCGGCCCTGCAGAGCGCCTCCCTGCAGCAGCAGATCACCCACGACGCAGGCGCAGCCACCTCTGCCCAGAGCCAGCTGACCGAGATGAGGCGCACCCTGCAGACCCTGGAGATCCAGCTGCAGTCCCAGCTGGCCACGGTAGGTGACAGCGAAGGTCAGCCTGGATCCTGTGATTCTAGAAAGTCTCCGAGAAGCCCTTCCCCATTTTTCCTACTATACCTTTGCCGGCAAATACTTAGCAGAGAGAGTGGAGGAGAGCAGGAGAAACAGACCCGTAGACACTCAAAAGAGGGTTTTTTCTTCCTCCTTGACATCACTGGGGGCTTCCTTCCTGGCTGCTGCTCAGTGCTCATTTCATAAAAATAGACGTTTCACATAAGTCCTTTCTTAGGGTAATTCAGCTCAGGTCCGCAGAGCAAACAGCAGCAGGAACACTCCACCTGAAAATTAGCCACAGGTCTATGATCAGGGGTGTGGGGCTAGTGTCACACAGGGCGGGGAGCGAGCATCACGCCAGCATCTCCGAATACTGATGAAGACATATTAGAAGTCACATGTGGTTTCACCAGGCAGAGGAAGCGAGGGTACACACCATACCTGAATGCCACATGGGCACTGTCAGGCTCTTCATCGCCAGAGTCCAGGGTGAAGGTCGAGCCCCAGAGGGCACACCTAGGAGCCAGGACTTCAGCCACTTGGGCACATACCACCAGCTCCTGGCTTACTTAAAACGTCAGCATGGAGTCAACCCAGGACTAAAAATGGCTTCCCTTCTAGAGTGTGAGCCGCACTGCCCAAAGGCTTGACTTTGAGAATTACAGCATACATGTGGTCTAAGGACTCCCCTCCACATAAGAGGTTTCGTGCCCCCTGAGGACACCAGGTTGTAACACAAAGAAGAGAGCAGCTATTATCCAAGTGAGTGCAGTGAGCCAAGAAGGAAAAGACATTCAAAGCAATAGGGAGATTCTTTTGATTTTGCTGCCCTCTAAAGGTGTGTGTGCTTTCTCCCTATGTTGGATTTAGATGGAAGACATTTTTACACTGACTGACCCCGACTTAACCAGCATAGCCCTCTTCTCCTCTCCCTCATCATGGCTGCTAGTGGGTACTCGAGACCCCCTCACTCTGCCACTGCGGGCTCCTGGAACCCTCCTCTCTTTCCCACTTCCCTTCTTACCTGAACTAGATCCCCGAGGACTCTCTTCCTGCTGCAGGAGCCATGTGGGTGAATCCTCCATTTCTGAGCTACGTTGGTGGAAATACATTTTCGAGTCCCCAGACCAGTTCTGTGAGCATTTTCACATAGAAACAAGAATGTTATAAAGTAGTTAGAGTCTGTGCAGCCAGTTGCACTATAATTTGGGCTCAGGATAATCCACACACAAGAAAAAAGCCCACTTAACACGGAACATAACTGAATTACAGAATCCTAGGAGCATAGAACCTAACTTACATACCTGAGATCCTGTTGTCTTATAATGAATTCTAAACTCCATCTCTTAGAGTTAGAACACAAGTCATTTGTAAGTTGAGAATTGTCTAAATACATACACATTCACATGTTTGCTTCCTGTGATGTACAAACTTCCAAGTTCATCCTGTTCTCCTCCCTCTTGGACAAGCCAGCCCTCACAATGGAAGGCTGTGAAGCAGAGATGCTGTCCCCTCTGACTTATGAGTGGATTAGCAATCAGAAAAGGGAATACCCTAGGAGGACGCATTACCAGGGAAATTAAAGTTTTGAGCTGCCAAGCACACACCTCGCTGGCGTCTTGCTACCTGTTGCCTTACTCTCCCCATTACCATCTTGATCTCCTTCCACTTAGGTGCTCCTGGAGAGCCCAGCACCCTCCATGTAACACACCTGTTTGCCTAAATCAGTAGCTGTAAGTCAGTCTTAGGTTCTCAGCCCCATTGGACCCAATGGCTGCCTGTTATGACAAACATTGTATAACTCCCTCTTTGCAATGCTAGAATGAAGTTACTAGGTAATATATTTAGAAATATACAAAATTATTTTTTAAAGTATAATGTCATAAATACAATAAAAAGAAGAGTAAGATAAAATGATTTCCTAGGTAAATACTTGGGCCCAACTACCCTAGAAAATGTAATGAAAGAGACAGAGCCTTGCATCTTCTCATAATAAATCTCTCATTTTCAACCATGTAAGAACAGAAGTTCCTCCACATAAGAAAAGGAAAATGAAAGAGTGGAAGTTGGGGTGGACACTTGGATAATAACTAATATCAAAAGAATTAATAATTGCCCAGACATATTTATCTATAATAAGGGAAAGAGGAAAATTACCGTAATTAAAGTAGGGATCAGGTGCCAAGACAAATTACAGACTGTGGAAGTAGAAGAGAGGAAGTATGATACTCATAAGACTAGTGTCGAAATAATGACCTGTATTGTGTTATGAGATATAGCTCTTGTCTTGAAATCCCACATCTGTTAGGGCACTCATTCAATTTCAGGTACCTTAATAAAAGATCTTTGATAGAAGCCAGAAAATCAAGGATGGATTTGAATAATAAAAAAAAAAGCAGTGGCATAAAAGGCCTTGGAACACTGGCGGGGACAGTAGCAGAGCAAGGGTAAAACAACAGGTAACCCAGAAATAAATATGTAATTTCAAAATATAAGTTTTCCCATATCGATTTTTTATTCTGCTACTCTTAAAAGGGTTCTTTAATGTATCATTTGCTTTTAATAGAAATATAACCTAAATATCACCAACGTCCAGTGGATCATCAAAAGTCTTGTGGGAAAAGGGCCATTTATCACGTCAGGATCCTACGTTCATCATGCCTGGCCCTCACTTCATAAATGCCAGCCTCCTGTCTTTCACATTTGATTGCAACAAGCCTCACAAATTTCCACAGTTGCCTAGGGAGCAATACTGCTGGTTACTGAGAAACACTGTTCTACTAGTCCTCAGAGTGTTTTCATCCCTTGCCATGGCTTGATGTCCTCAGAAACAGTCCCTGGAGTGCTCCTTGACAGAGACGGAGAGTAACTACTGTGCGCAGCTGGCGCAGATCCAGGCTCAGATCGGGGCCCTGGAGGAGCAGCTGCACCAGGTCAGAACCGAGACCGAGGGCCAGAAGCTGGAGTATGAGCATCTCCTCGACGTCAAGGTCCACCTGGAAAAAGAAATTGAGACCTACTGCCGCCTGATAGATGGAGATGGAAAGTAAGTAAAACCATTGGCAAAGCTACAAATGTAGGCTTCCCATTAGCCTTCCGTACTTCCAAGCCTTTTCTTTTTCATTCCCACTGCAGAAAAGCATATCCATCTCTTGCGTTTTTTGGAAGACAGTCATCTCTTCCAAATCTGGTACATCACAGTGTTCTCCTCTGCCTTAAATGACTCGAACCGTTCCTGCAGCAGTTCCCATCTGTTATCCATGTTAATCACTGTGGATTTCAAGATTCTCTCCACCTCCCACAAGCAGGCTTTATCCTTCTTTCAGTGCATACCTAATATCACTGCTGCCCTGAAATCAATGTGCTCTGTACAAACTACTGGGATCCATATGTATGTATGCATGTCCTTCGGTTTTAAATTCTTGGGTGTAAAAAAATCAAATGGAAACAAGATTTATGTATATTCTCTCTTTAGATAACATTTAATTACTTCCAGCTCCTGCACATAAAAATCTTAAGAGTTCCCTCTATAGAAAAGTAAGACCAGTTTTTGGCATACAAAGTTCACTTGAGTCCATTGAGTCAATGAATATTTCTTAAATGATAGTAAGCATATAAAAGAATAAACTATATTTCTTTTACAGTTCCTGCTCCAAATCAAAGGGCTTTGGATCAGGAAGCTCTGGGAATTTACCTAAAGGTAGTAAAATCTAGTTCCATTTCTTTTTTCTTTCTTTCTTTCTTTTTTTTTTTTTTTTAAGACAGAGTCTCACTCTGTTGCCCAGGCTGGAGTGCAATGGCGCAATCTCAGCTCACTGCAAACTCTACCTCCTGGGTTCAAGTGATTCTCCTGCTTCAGCCTCCCAAGTAACTGGGATTACAGGCACCCACCACCACACCTGGCTAGTTTTTTTTTTTTTTGAGACGGAGTTTCACTCTTGTTACCCAGGCTGGAGTGCAATGGCGCGATCTCGGCTCACTGCAACCTCCGCCTCCTGGGTTCAGGCAATTCTCCTGCCTCAACCTCCTAAGTAGCTGGGATTACAGGCACGTGCCACCATGCCCAGCTAATGTTTTGTATTTTTAGTAGAGACGGGGTTTCACCATGTTGACCAGGATGGTCTCGATCTCTTGACCTCGTGATCCACCCGCCTCGGCCTCCCAAAGTGCTGGGATTACAGGCTTGAGCCACCGCGCCCGGCTTAGTTTTTGTATTTTTAATAGAGACGGAATTTCACCTTGTTGGCCAAGCTGGTCTCAAACTCCTGACCTCAGGTGATCTGCCCACCTTGGCCTCCCAAAGTGCTGGGATTATGGGTGTGAGCCAGCACTCTGACCTTCTAGTTCTATCGGAGTAATACTTTTACATTAATGGCAGTCATACACTATGACAATAGTTAATATTTAAGTAATTTTAGGTAAAATGTTCTGAAGAGGAAATATTATTTTAAGTGGCTAAAACTGTCCCAAACTATTATTATAAATATATACTTACTCCCTCAACCAAAAATATGCATAATATATTATATTGAGCTAGCAGTGGAATTGTCATGTAACCTTTTTGGTTGAATATATATATTCATATGTTTTGTTTCTAGATTTATCCAAAACCACACTGGTAAAGACAGTGGTTGAAGAGATAGATCAGCGTGGTAAAGTTCTTTCATCAAGGATTCACTCCATTGAAGAAAAGACATCTAAGATTACCAATGGCAAGACAGAAAAAAGGGTTCCTTTCTAGCTGTCGTTTTAGAGAAAAGAATAATTTGGGAAAGGATCTTGTACAATTGCATTATTCTAAATGTCAGGGAGAATATAAACACTTTTGACTTTTAAAGATAAGTTACTTAGCAAAAATATCTGTTTTCTTAGTTTTACAGGATGTTGGGTGTTTGTTTCAAATAAATAAAAAAGCTGATATGCATCCATTTCCATTCAGTGATGACTAATAAATAATTACTTGTGATTTTTTTTCTATGTCTAATTCATAGGGAAACATTTGTGGACTATGTTTTAATTGCCTTTCATTGTTGTTTTAAATAATAGTCAATACCACCACATGGCATTTGAATATTAAACATTCACTAGGCATAATCTTTAAATCACACCATATATACATGGACAAATAATCAAAAAATTCAGAAATTCTCCTGTGACTGAAAAGTTTCACCACTAGATGACGCATTCCTGGTATTTTACCAAGAGCCTCTCTCAAACTCTTCTATCTACATTACCCAGGATACCATTCCTCATCTAAACAGGATAATCTCCGGAAAAATCCGCAGCAATATGGCTTGTGTTAGTAACACTTTTTCTAGAACGAGAGTCAGGAGTTTTTTCTGTGAAAACCCAGATAGTAAATATTTTAGGCATGGCAGGCCGTAAGGTCTCTATTTCAACTACAAACCTCAGCCGTAGACAATAGATGAAAAAGTGAATTTGATTGTGTTCTAATAAAACTTTATTTATGAAGGCTGAAATTTGAATTGTAAATACGTTTACCTGTCATGGAATATTATTCTTCTTTTAACTTTTTTCAACCATTTAAAAATGTAAAACCATTCCTAGCTCACTGTCTGTACAAAAACACACGGCCGGCCAAATTTAACTCACCAACACCTGTTCTTCAACTTGAAACCTCATGAGGTTGAACCTCATGATTCTTGTGATTATGATTATTTCTATCTTTCTGGATCAAAGTGTACAGAGGGATTCCCAACAAATATTAAATTGCCTAAAAGGAAAGCAGCTCCTTTATTTCTCTAATATATGGCCTGACTCCAGGGAAAAGCTCCAGTGAGAGAAGGAATTCTGTCTCACTACCCTCCAGTCACATGGGATTCAAAAAAGTGGTGAAGAGTGGGATATTTACAAAATCTTCAGCCATGAGCCATCAAATGAAGCAAATACTAGAAATTCACAGGGAAATAATTTCCAAATGTACAATATACAGGGCCAGCTCCATAATTTGCAGGACCCAGTGCCAAATGAAAACATGGGGTTCCTTATTCAACAATCAGGAAAAATGTATCAACTAAAGGCACTAAAATATCAAGCTGTTTCCCTGCATCTGCATTTATGCTTTCAACTTATCCTGGATTTTGTTGTTTTGATGTTGGGTTTTCTTTTGGGTTTGGAGTGGTTTTTTTTTTTTTTTTTTAGGCTTGTTGTGTTGTTTTGTTGTTGTTGTTTTCTTTATTTCAAATGATCCTCAAGACCAGCCTGGCCATCATGGTAAAACCCCCTCTCTACTAAAAATACAAAAATAGCTGGGCACAGTGGTACACACCTGTAATCCCAGCTACTCTGGAGGGTGAAGCAGAAGAATCATTTGAGCCTGGGAGGCAGAGGTTGCAGTGAGTCAAGATCTTGCCACTCCACTCTAGCCTGGGCAACAGAGTGAGACTTCATCTCAAAAAATAAAAAAAAAGAATAAAGTATAATTCCAAATAGCTTTACGAACTTCACAGAGTTCCTTTTTCTCTTGTTTTTATCTAGGATTCAGAAATATGTTGGCTTGATTTCTGAAATTTCCCATCTCTTTTTTTCCTCCCCCACTCATATCTAGACCTTTTGTTTCCTTCCTTTCTGTGACCCTCTCCTGACAAGTTTCGATCTTTCCCCCAGCAGTTTCTCCTCGTCGTGGGTTGCTCTCCCAGGAGGGAACCATGGCTGGTCAGTTTTGAGAATTCACAGGATCTAGGCTGTTCCATTCCCTTCCGAATTCATGGAGGACCCTTAGTTTAGAGTTAGTTAAAGTTAGAATGGTTTTCTGACTAGTTTAACCCTGTTTCCTGCATGTCTCCCATGCCTCTTTCTTATGCAATTGAAACTACCAAGCAATCATTTTCATCTATGCCCCTGAAGATCTCACTTTCAGAATCTCCCATCCTCCTATTCAATATTGGCTATCTGTTTTCTGCTTTTTTTTTTTTTGTTTTTCTGAGATGGAATCTCATTCTGTCACCCAGGCTGGAGTGCAGTGGCACAATCTCACCTCACTGCAACCTCCGCCTCCCAAGTTCAAGCAATTCTCCTGCCTCAGCCTCCTGAGTAGCTGGCATTACAGGCAAGTGCCACCAAGCCTATCTGATCTTTGTATTTTTAGTAAAGACGGAATTTCAACCTGTTAGCCAGGGTGGTCTTGATCTCTTGACCTCATGATCCGCCCACCTTGGCCTCCCAAAGTGTTGGGATGACAGACGTCAGCCACCACGCCTGGCCGGCTTCTGTTTTTTAAGCCTGCCACCCAGCTGTCGTGGGAACATTCACTCAGTGCACTCACATTGGAACTCCATTTCCAGGATCCTATGTTTTCTTTTTCATGTTTTTCTCTCTAGTGGCTTCCCAATAAAATGTGCAAAGGAGATAAATGTTTTGATACCTTTCATGTCTGAAAAGATTTCTTTTCCACCCTCACTTGTCGTTGTTAAAGTAGAAAGTTTTGGTTCTCTTTGTAAGTCACAATTAGAAAAAAAAACTTAGAAATGAGGAGATAAACCTTAGGAAACGATTAGAATAAAAGGTTGAATATCATTTGGGGTTCACTTTTTTTTTTTTTTAAGAGACAGAGTTTCACTCTGTCAACCAGGCTGGAGTGCAGTGGTATGATCACAGCTTACTGCAAACTCTGCCTCCTGGGTTCAAGAGATTCTCCTGCCTCAGCCTCCCAAGTACCTGGGATTACAGGCACCACCATGAGGTCAGGCACCTGAGACCAGCCTAGCCAATGTGGTGAAACCTTGTCTCTACTAAAAATAAGAAAATTAGCCAGACGTGGTAGCGCACAGCTATAATCCCAGCTACTTGGGAGGCTGAGACAGGAGAATTGCTTGAACCCAGGAGGCAGAGGTTGCAGTCAGTGAGCTGAGATCGTGCCACTGCACTCCAGCCTGGGTGACAGTGAGACTCGATATCAAAAAAAAAAAAAAAAAAAATGAGAAAGAGAGATTGGCTCTTTTAAGGCTCACATATTTATCTTTTTATCTTTTTGTTCTAACTTTGGGGAGTTTTTTAGAAATTTATTTTCCAACTCATCTATTGAAGTTTTATTTTGGGAGTTTGTTTTTAATTCTAAGAGGCCTTCTATGTGCACCTTGTTCACTTTTAAAGATATTCTATCCATGTTTTAAATATACAGTATTTTTGTTAATTCTGAAAGTAATAATTGTAAGTAGTTTCTTTTTTAAAAGTTTTCCTCAAGGTTCTTTATTACCTCTGTTTCCCCTGAGTATTATTTTTTGTTTGTTTGAGTCTTTGTCTTTCTTGTTTGAGTGTTTCTCAATGTACGGTGATATTTTAAATTAATTTAAAATATCAAAATTAATTTACAATTTAAATTAATTTAAAATATGGTGATATTTTAAATTATGTTCATTTTGAACAAGTAAGACCTTAAACATTTGGAAGCTTTGTGTGTAAGTGTCTGTAATTCCTTCCGGAGTGGTTGTATGGTAAGCTTCCCTTTTGTGGAGAACACTCAAATATTTGTGTCTGGAAGTCTTTTCTCTAAGATTCTTCAGCTTCCTCAGAGAGACCCAACAATCTGGGATGGCTACATAATTTACAAGGCCCAATGCAAACTGAAAATGTGAGATCTCTTGTTGAAAAGTCAGAAAAAAAGTTCAGTTAGAAATAAGTCCAGTGCATCAGCTCACATCCATAATGCCAATACTTTTGGAGACCAAGCTGGGCGGTCTGAGGCCAGGAGTTCGAGACCAGCCTGGCCAACATGGCGAAACCCCATCTCTACTACAAATACAAAAGTTAGCCAGGTGTGATGGCGGCACCTGTAATCCCAACGACTTGGGAGGCTGAGGCAGGAGAATCGTTTGAACCCAGGAGACGGAGGTTGCAGTGAGCAGAGATCACACGACTGCACTCCAGCCTAGGTGACAGAGCAAGACTCTGTCTCAAAAAATAAATAAATACTAAAATATAGATCTTTTTCTTTTAAAAATGTCTTATTATTTATAACATGTAATTGAGGTAATAGGACACATATATAACAACATAAACTATAAATGGCAAATAAATAATGTTTTGGTATCCTAATTTTATGTAATACAAAAAACCATAATACTTTAATAATATATTCAATTGATTGACAAGTCTTTCTGGCTTTTCTTTCTGCAAACTCATTTGTTAAGTCATAACAATTTACATTTTTTCCAACTTCATTTTCAATCTAGGTACTTGAAAGTGATGGCAATTATTCTTGGCAAATACAAGATCTCAAATGATTTGTTATAATTTTTAGTCTGAAAAAGAAAACCAGGTGGAAAGAACAACATGAACAAAGGCAAAGAGATGGGAAAGAGAAAAGTAGTAAAAAAGAATGGGCAAGGCAGTGAGGGAAAACCTACATTAAGAAGGTGAGGTGGCTTACGCCTGGAATCTCCGCATTTTGGGAGGCCAAGGTGGGAGGATCTCTAGAACCCAGGCATTCAAGACCAGCCTGGACAACATGGCAAAGCCCATCTCTACAAACACACACACACACACACACACACACACACACACACACACACAAATTAGCAGGGCATGGTGGCGTGTGCCTGTATTACCAGATATCTGGTAGGCTGAAGTGGGAAGATCACTTAAGCCTGGGAGGTTGAGACTGAAGCGAGCCATGATCACACCACTGCATTCCAGCCTGGGTGACAAAGAGAGACCCCGTCTCAAAAAAAAAAAAAAAAAAAAGAATCGTGAATAACAAGGACAAAACTGTAAGAAATGACAAATGTAGGGCACAGAAGCTATAAGCAGAAGGGAAAAGGGGAGCAACACGGGATGTAGAGAAATTCTCACAAAGCAACTGTCGGAAACTCAATCAGACTGATCAGACTGAGGTAGTCAGTACTGAACGTAACCAAGAGGGTATAGGAGAATAAATACAAGAAATGATGATTAGAGATGTGCAGTGATGTCTGAGAGGTTACTTTCAATAAAATGGTGGGACTGCAATTCAGA